CAAGAATTGTGTATGATTTAAAAATTGTAAGACCTGGATTCCTAGGTTTGACTAATGCCAAGAATAATAACTTCTAATAGGTGACAAATTATATCTACATTTATGAGCGCTCTAATTTATTGTATTATTATATTGTTTTAGTTGATAATCACATTAGTATGTTATAGTAAGTTAATGGTATATTTTAAATTAAATATGACTCTTATTTGTATTTTTTTTCTAGTGTATCTTTAGATGCACACTTAATACAGAAGTTTTCTCCACCACATGGTGACTGTTGTTAGACATTACAGACTAGATGAGGAATATAAGAGGGACAACTTTCCAAACAGGAATTTGAGCTGAACTGAGATGTAAAGGGTTAGTTTGAGTTAGGGAGGTGAAAAAAACAGGTGTCCCAGTGGAGTTCACAGGCTCAGGAGTGGGAAATTTCATGGTAATTTCTGGAAAGGGCAAGGGGTCCATATTATTGCTGTTATGCTGGGGATAATGCAAGGATAAGGCTGGAAAGTCAGGCAGGCCCCTGGCTTTGTGTTCTGCACAGGAGCTTGACTTTATCTTGAATAGTGTGGGGGCTATGCAAGTATCATGGTTGGGAGAATGATATAATCAGTCAGGTAGAAAACATATCGGTAAGGGCACACACACACACACACACACATAGAAAGATATTCTTTCTCTTTTGTTGAAAAACAAATTCAAGAATTCAGAAATTTTTAAGTTCATTAGAAAATCTGATTTTGTTCAGAGCAGGTCTTGTTTTGAGGGTATAATGATATTCACTTAGGCCTTGAGGAGAATGTAATCACAGGGGATTCTTTTTAAAAAGTATTTTTATTATGAAACTTTTCAAACTTTCATGAAAGTGGTATAAAAAGCTCCATGTATTAAATCATCTAGTTTCAAAAAGCCATGGCTTATTTTTATCATATTTGTCTTAGTTTTTTTTTTTCTCCTGAATTGTAAATAGTTGCAGACATTATGACATTTTATCCCTAAAGTATACTTCAGGTGTAACCACAATACCGTTATCATGCCATATAAATTAAAAATAATTTATTAATGTTATTTTAATATCTTGTGGACCAGTAGTTTTATTGCTAGCTCTACCCAGTGGCCAGATAAGATTCTATTGAACGAATACAAAAAACGTTTTACATAAATGTTAAAGACACACTTTAAAATTAAATACCCATTGCATTTTGAAGTTATTTATTACGTGTTCTGACAAGCTAATATCTTTTTAAAGAATTCCTGTGATTAGCCACAAGCCTTAGAACAGAAAACACGAGAATTCTCAAGATCCGTCTGCAATGTGTTAATATATAGGGTCTCAAGTTATTGTGTTTTAGCTCTTAGTGCCTTGTTATCATAGAGCAGTACCCAGTCAGACTGAATTGATTGTTGGTTGCATGGCTGAGTAGGATTTATGAAGTGTCGATGATATACTTACAAATATATAATGTTTTGTGGGTTTTTCCTTGGGCGATGTGTACTATAGGTAAAAATGTAATCCTATATAATAAAAGCCTAATATGCTAAGTGTACAGTTGTTCGGTCGGCTGTTCGACCAATCAAAGCATAATATGCTGATGATATGCTAAGGCTACTCAGCCGCTCACTATGATGTGCACTGACCACCAAGGGGCAGACAGTCGACCAGTCGTCCAGTCACTATGATGAGCACTGACCACCAGGGGGCAGATGTTCCGATCGGTAGGTAAGCTTGCTGCAGGGGTCCCACCGGTCAGGACTGGAGCGAGACAGGCTGGACATGCCCTGGAGCCCTCCCACAGCCCCTCCCCGGCTGGCCAACCTCCTGCGTCCCTCCCCCGCCCCAATTGTGCACTGGTGGGGTCCCTTGGCCTGGCCTGCGCCCTCTTGCAATCCAGGACCCCTCGGATGTTGGAGAGCCGGTTTCAGCCTGATCCCGCAGGCCAGGCCAAGGGACCCCACTGGTGCACGAATTCATGCAACGAGCCTCTAGTTTTATTAGAAAATTAATGCCAATTGTTAATGCAGTGTGTGCTTATTGAAGGTGGACGGGGGGCAGACTTCTAGCACTTGGAGTGCGGGTGAATTTCCCGCCAAAATATAAGATGGCTCTGTCTTTTGGTTTTGTTCCATCCACCAAAAGGGTGGATTACAAACAAATATTTGGTAATACGCAGTTACAATCGGCCCGAGTTTACACGTTTCCCGCACTCCACCGCAAATCTATATGAACCGAGTTAAAGACGGCTCCCGCGGAGTACGCGCAATTCACGCGAGCCGACTTAACTCGTTTCCCGCACTCCAAGTGCTAGCAGTACTATTCTTTTGTCTGCTCTACTCGTATTTTTGCCATCCTAATTCCATCCTTTTCTGACTTTTCTTTAATCTGGTACCTTCTCCCTTCTTAGCAGATGATTCCAAGATTTGGTGAGAATATAAAATTTTATAATTGTCTTTTCCCTCAAACACAGATATGGGGTTGATATTTGAAATTATATGCATGCTTTTTTATATTAGAAGCTCAGCTTATATGAAGTTTTTCTATAGGCTGCATTTTTCCAGTTGGTAATTGTATTACGTTTAATAGATATGAAGAGGCTGAAAAGGACTGCACACGAGCTGTTTTATTAGATGGCTCGTATTCTAAAGCTTATGCCAGAAGAGGAACTGCAAGAACATTTTTGGGAAAGTTAAATGAGGCCAAACAAGGTATGACTATTTTTATAACAACTGCCACTCACTCATTCTGATGAGACTCCCAAGTTATAGAAGCAGAGATTTGCGTAGCCTTCCCATGGTTTAAGGATACAGAATTTAGAGAAAGATATACATATTTTCTTTCTCAGTTTAAATCATGAATATGTATGCAGATTTGAAGGAATGCAGCTTTAATAGTAGACCTGATTATCTTTTGAGAGCATACAGTACATTCTGGCTAGTTGCCAATCAAAATTAGTAAAGATTTGAATTATAGCCCTAACCGGTTTGGCTCAGTGGATAGAGCGTCAGCCTGCGGACTGAAGAGTCCCAGGTTCGATTCCGGACAAGGGCATATACCTTGGTTGCAGGCACATCCCCAGTAGGGGGTGTTCAGGAGGCAGCTGATTGATGTTTCTCTCTCATTGATGTTTCTAACTCTCTATCCCTCTTCCATCCTCTCTGTAAAAAATCAATAAAATATATTTTAAAAAAAGATTTGAATTATAGGTGAGAAGGAAAAAAGCAAGACAAAGGCAAGAATGAAAAGGAAGGGAATCAGCAGCTGTAGGTAGAGGATAATGTAGTCTGTAGTGATGCCCCACCCCCTTATTTTTTTATACTTGTTATTCTTTTATTTTTCCTTGATCTGTCTTTTTAAGTATTTGACTTTGTGAACAACCAACTTGTTTCTCTTGTGTATGTTTTCAATTTTATTTATTTCTACTCTTCATTTCCTTCCTACAACTGTCTTGATGTAATTTGCTGTTTTTCTAATTTTTTAACATCAATACCTAGATAATTGATTTCAGTCTTTTTTCCTGATCTATGCATTTAATTCTCTCAGTTTTTCTCTAAACCTGGCTTCAGCTGTAACCCATGCATTTTTTTCGTTATGGTAAAATACACATAACATAAAACTTACTGTTCTAACCATTTTTAAGTCCATTGGCATTGAATCCATTTACACTGTGTAACCATCACCATTATTCATCTCCAGAACTTTTTCATCATTTCATTCTGAAAACTCTATGCATTAAACAGTAACTCTCCATTCCCCTTTTTTTCCAGCTCCTCAGAACCACCATACTACTTTCTATCCCTGAATATGACTTTTCTAGGTGTTTTATATAAGAATTATACAGTACTTTGTCCTTTTGTGTCTGGCTTATTTCTGTTAGTAGAATGTCTTGAAGGTTCATCTATGTCGTAGCATGTATCACAACTCCTTTTTAAGGCTGAATAATATTAGATTCTATCTTACATTTAGTGAGTTACCTTGTCATTTGTTAGTAGTGTGCGCTTTGGTAAGTTAGGTGACCTGTAGGCCTCAATCGTATCATCTGTAAAGTGGGGTTATAGTGAGGAATACATCAGAATTCATATAAAGAATAGCACTCAGTAAATGTTAGTCCTTGTTGTTGCTCACGTGTTTCCTAGCATCCTGAGTAAAACTTCCTGAGATAAACATGGGGTTACTAAACCAACTAAACATATTATGTCTTGAACTTTATAAAGTATTTCCACTAATTTATTATATTTCTTAAAAATTCACTTTAGATTTTGAAACTGTTTTGCTTTTGGAACCTGGAAATAAGCAAGCAATAACTGAACTTTCCAAAATTAAAAAGGTAATATATTATTTTCACCAATATATACTTTTATTTTCTGCAACTTAAACACATTTATTTGTTGCATAATTAACTTGAGAATATTTTTATAGTCATGATTACAAATCTATTTTTAAGGAATTAATTGAGAAAGGACACTGGGATGATGTCTTTCTCGATTCTACTCAAAGGCACAACGTGATAAAACCCACTGGTAATCCACCTCATCCTGGACCAGCTGTAAGTGAAACACTGTCTTTCTTTTTCTTTCTTGGTATGTAAGTATCTGTGTGGTATGAATAAGAGTAGGAAACAAACTGTTGAATTAAAATCTCTTAAAGACCAGTGATGTAGACCAGCTAAGCAAGGGCCTGGGGTTCCCTGATTGGTAGTAAATGAAAGTTTTCCCTTATCTCTTAGTCTCTGCTAAAATATTTATTTTCATTTTTCTGTATTCCCACATCAAAACTTCACCTTTCTTTTTGGTCCTTAGCCTTTTCTTTCTCCCTTTCTGTTTCTTCTTCTCTCTCTCTCTTTTTTTTTTTTTTTTGAAATAGCCATTATACAGAGCTAAATAAAATGTTATGTCTCTAACTTTTAATTTTTAAACAGTAATGAATTGAACCTTTCATATCTTTTCATAAATCTTTCTGTAGTGGTATCTTTTGAGTTTTACTTCTGTTCATACTGTCATTCCCCCATCCCTGGTCTACTGTTAACAGAGACTATCTATTTGGAAATTTGTTAATTAGAATCAATGCTTACACATCTAATGTCAATGAAAGTATTTGTTTTTAAATGATAGTGTATTGATATAATTCAATAATTATTGCCTGTCAAATTATAGTCTATTTTTTAAACACTAATACATGTCCATTCTTGATTAATATCTTGATCGTTATCTATTGCTGATGATAGTTCTCAGCAAAGCAAAGGCCTTAGCTTAACATGATTATCTTTTAAAATAGAACTGCTAACAGGATTCTTTTAACAAATTTGCTAACAGCTTTCTTATTTATGTGCATTTATCCAGTAACAATTTTTCCCATTAGGTCTTAGCTTAGCAATGTTAATAGAATGTCTGGTTTTAACGTTGAATTTAGTATATATGTCAAAAGTGTTTATATTTATAACTTTTTTATTTAAAATTTAACTATACAATTGAATTGAACACTTAGATTATACTGAACGTTTTTTTGTTAAAAATAAGAGTACAATATGTAAACTTTAGAAGAAATTGAAAATGTTTGATACTTGTAATGATTGAAATAGTGAATGGTTTTTTATTAAAAACCATTATTATGGTCAAGTACTTAGCAAGTTTGTGATTATTATTTGGCAAACTTTTAATCCTGAGCTGGCTTTATCCAGCTTCTTATATAGAAAATGTATTCAGGTTTTATTTATTACTAGAGGCCCGGTGCATGAAATTTGTGCACTTGCAGGGGGGTCCCTCAGCCCGGCCTGCACCCTCTCACAGTCTGGGAGCCCTTAGGGGATGTCCGACTGACAGCTTAGGCCCGCCTCCCGGACATCCTTAGTGCTGCCGCAGAGGCGGGGGAGGCTCCTGCCACTGCCGCTGTGCTTGCCAGCCATGAGCCCGGCTCAGGGCTTCTGGCTGAGCGGCACTCCCCCTGTGGGAGCACACTGACCACCAGGGAGCAGCTCCTGCATTGAGCGTCTGCCCCTTAGTGGCCAGTGTGTGTTATAGCAACTGGTCGTTCTGCTGTTCCGCTGTTCAGTCGATTTGCATACTAGCCTTTTATTATATAGGAATATTAAAATGTATTTTTATTGATTTCAGAGAGGAAAGGAGAGGGAGAGAAGATAGAAACATCAATGATAAGAGATAATCATTGATTGGCTGCCTCTTGCATGCCCGTTTCTGGGAATTGAGCCTACAACCCCGGCATGTGCCCTAACCCGGAATCAAACTGTGACCTCCTAGTTCATAAATCTTTCTATAGTGGTTGATGGTCAACCACTGAGCTACACCAACCAGGTGTATTCAGGTTTTAATGTTGGTCTGTTTCATACAGAATGCTGGTTATTGCCTAGCCTTGTTTTTCTTGCTTTCAGTTAGCCCACAATACTGTTGTCAGTTTGGTAATACTTTTTCTTGGCTTTCTTGCCTCTAAAATAAAGTCCAAACTCCTTGACATGGCACACAAGTCTCTTTATAAGCAATTTTTAATGAGCCTTTCAAGCTTTGTCTCCCATCACTTATCCCCTTGCACCAGTGCCATTGGACTTATCACCTTTTCACTGACCACACATACCATGGTTAATCTTCCACATTGCCATTCTTGTGTACTTTTTCTAAGAATTCTCTGCTAATGCCAATGTTTTTCTACCTTCCTCTGTGTTCTCTTATAGGTTTGTATCCTATTGCTTGTAATTATTTATATATACATCTTCTTTCCTCCATTTAGACCTACATTTGGTAGGTGCTATGCATCTTTTTATTTGTGTTCTCAGAGTGTGACTCCTAAGTCTGTCTAGCCATCAAATTGAATTTTTTTTTATAAAAAAAATTGGGATATTGGCTCTAAGAACACAGCAACCTTTTAATTTGTAATTCTAAAATAGAAAAACTTTATGTGTTGATTTAAGGAATTGATTTTAATTGTTTTAGAAACCACTCAAGAAGGTGATTATTGAAGAAACTGGTAATTTGATACAGACTATTGACATGCCAGAGAGCACTACTGCTGCTGCTCCAGAAAGTAATCCTATTAATGTAGCAGATGTAACAGCAACCACAGGCACTGCAAGTAAGAAGAATTCAAGCCAAGATGACCTTTTGCCCACGAGTGATATTCCAAAAGCAAAAGTATTGAAAATAGAAGAAATCAGTGAGACTTCAGCCCTCCAGTAAGTAGAACTGTTGTTATTTGATAATCTTTAGAATTGTAAAGCCAGACCCAGGATTTAATTCCACTAGAAAATTGATATTACCAATGAGAGTTTTGGTTTATACTCATCACTGTAATTTTTTTAACTACCCAACTTCATGTTCTAGTTTTTCTTTTTTATTTGTTCTGACTCATCAGAGACGTTTTGCGTAAGGAATGATCACTGTTCCTTTACCATAGTGGGGAATTTAGAGATAATAATAAACTGTCTTTAACAAGTTGGTTGTGTTCATTTTCCCCCTCAAACTTCAGTATATTGTTTCCCTTCTTAATTCAGCAAAAAATTTAATTTTTTAAGAGGAAGCTTCTAAAAAATGTAGAATTTAGACATTTACATTATTCTAGCCATTCATATTTAAGATTATTTATGGATTGTTTTAAATTTTGTTTTGAAAAAAAAATTTTTAATGTATTTTTATTGAATTCAGAGAGAAAGGGAGAGAGAGAGAGATAGAAACATCAATGATGAGAGAGAATCATTGATCAGCTGCCTCCTGCATGCCTCCTACTGGGGATCAAACCGCAACCCGGGCATGTGCCCTTGACTGGAATTAAACCTGGGATCCTTCAGTCCACAAGCTGACACTCTATCCACTGAGCCAAACCAGTCAGGACTTGTTTGGAATTTTTAAAAATAGTGATGTGTTTCCTTGATCTATATATATATAAAAGCCTAATATGCTAAGTGTCTGACCATTCAACCAGTCGCTATGACGCACACTGACCACCAGGGGGAAGACACTCTGAGTGGTAGATTAGCTTGCTGCTGGGGTCCAGCTTATGGGGACTGGGCGAGATGGGTCAGACACACCCTGGAGCCCTCCCGCAGCCCCTCCCCAGCCCTGATCTTGCACCAGTAGGCTCCCTCAGTCTGGCCTGCACCCTCTCACAATCCGGGACCACTTGGCGGATGTCAGAGAGCCGGTTTTGGTCTGATCCTCGCAGGCCTCTAGTGAGAATATAAAAGATATAGACTAGTTTTGTTTTGGGGTCTTGAAACTTTATTCATATATTATTGTATTGTACTCAACAATTCTATTGGAATTTTTTTTTAACTTTGAATTTTAGTAGTATTCTATTTAAAGTGATCGTATGGATTGTGAGAAAACACTAAATAGGTAGTTTTGTTTGTTTGTTTTTTAAGGAGAAAGCATTTTTCCTTCTCAGAATATCTTTCTTGAAACTTATAATTCAGATTTCTGAAAGGCTGAGTTGTAAGTATATATGATGTAGTAATGCGGTATATAGAAATGGTGTGCTCAAAAAGTGGCCAGGCTAATAGCCCAGCAAATGAGAATAGTCATTGTGTAGCATGTGAAAATTTGCAGAGGCGTGTCTTGCAAAAAAATATACATATGTTATCAGCTGAAAGAGTTTAATATTTTTAGAATGTAAATAGATAATATAATATTAGTTACATCAGAAATTTAAAAATCTCTATTGATGCTTTCTTAAAATAAGCTTTGACTCACAGACAAATGGGGGGTGAGGGCATGAGTGGGGGGGATAGGGAGTAATGTGGGGATAAGGACACATATGTAATAACTTAATCAATAAAAAAAAATAAGCTTTGACTAATTTTGGTTCTTTTCAGTTGTTTGACTGATGTCTCTGCAATATTTCAGATCTCAAGTTAATATGAAACAGGATGTATGTCAGTCTTCCCGTGAAAAGATTTCTATAGAGGGGGACAAATTGTCTGCTCAGTTTATCACAACTGTTCTTCCTCCAGTTCCTGCAAACTCATTCCAGCTTGAATCTGATTTTAGACAATTGAAAAGTTCTCCAGATATGTTATATCAGTATTTGACGGTAAGAAAGAAGAAGCTAGTAGTACTGTTGTAAACAAAAGGTCAAAGACTATCTTTGTCACTCACTGTATAATAATAGTGTTATATTTGCTCTTTGTATTGTATAACATGATTGTAGAAAATGCTCTTATTATCCCTTACCTGACACATGTATCACCCTGGCCAGACCATTTTATTTTATTTATTTTATTTTATTTTTTCAATTTTTAAATCATTTCAGAAAGGAAGGGAGAGGGAAAGAGAGATTGAAACATCAGTGATGAGAGAGAATCATTGATTGGCTGCCTCCTGCCCACTGGGGATTGAGCCTGCAACCTGGGTATGTGCCCTTGACCAGAATCGAACCCGGGACCCTTCAGTCCGCAGGCCAACGCTCTATCCACTGAGCCAAACCAGCTAGGGCTGACCAGACCATTTTAAATATTTGCAATCAGGGAACCTTTGGAAATAGGTTCTGTTTTGAATTCTCTTCTCTAAAAATAACTTAATCTGATTTCATATATCATAACTTGAACTTCCTCATCCTTCAAGATGGGGAAAGAAGCTAAAATACATTAGATGCCTTCTTTGTGTCAAGTAATACTTGCAATATTTAGATAGTCATTCTCCTGAAAATGAGATTTCATTGGCTCCAAGAAAAAGAATCAGCTCTGGCCGGTTTGGCTCAGTGGATAGAGCGTCGGCCTGCGGACTGAGTGGTCACAGGTTTGATTCTGGTCAAGGGCACATACCTTGGTTGCGAGCACATCCCCAGGGGATGTGTGTGCAGGAGGCAGCTGATTGATGTTTCTCTCTCATTGATGTTTCTAACTCTATCCCTCTCCCTTCCTCTCTGTAAAAAATCAATAAAATATATTTTAAAAAAAGATAAGAAAAAGAATCAAATCATAAGAAATTTACCAAATAATGGATTAACATACTTTTTCTCCAGTGTAATCCTATATAATAAAAGCATGATATGCTAAGTGTTCGACCATTCAACCACTCGCTATGACATGCACTGACCATCAGGGGGCAGATGCTCCAACCATTAAGTTAGCTTGCTGCTGGGGTCTGACCAGTCAGGACTGGGCGAGACCGGCTGGACACGCCTTGGAGCCATCCTGCGGTCCCTCCCCAGCCGATTGTGCACCAGTGGGGTCCCTCAGCCTGGCCTGTGCCCTCTCGCAATCCGAGACCCCTCAGGGGATGTCAGAGAGCTGGTTTTGGCCCGATCCCTATAGGCCAGGCCGAGGGACCCCACCGGTGCATGAATCTGTGCACGGGGCCTCTAGTTATAGTAATAATTCCTTATAATTATGCATTATATAGTTACTTCCAAATACATTATCTCATGTAATTTTATTTTTTAACTCTCTATTGTTTTTGCTCTTTGAGAGCTCTAAGTTTCCTGTCTCTCTCATGGTGTACATCTGTCTGTTGATGAGGTTTTTCTCTGATTTGTACAGAGTAATTATCTTACTGTTCCTCTAACCTTCTTTCTTCTATCTTTAATTACATTTCATTGTGACAACCCCCCATCCTCATTATTATTCATTATGTATTAATGCGTAGTAGTTATTCTTTATTCACCTAAGCAATTATTATATAAGTAATTTATATGTGAATGTTGTCATAATTTAATTTTCTATTTTTTTCCAAGAAAATTGAACCATCCTTGTATCCTAAGTTGTTTCAGAAAAATCTAGATCCAGATGTATTCAACCAAATCATTAAAATTCTGCATGACTTTTACATTGAGTAAGTTGAATTTTTTTAGTTATACTTTCATACTGTAGTGCTATGCTATTTCTAGGGGTTTGGGAAATTCATTTGTTTTGATATTATTACTACCTTCTATATAGCAATACTAGCATTCTAGTAAATTTTACTATGGCAGAAGTTGTGAAGATGATAAGTGCAAGGAGTAACATGGGAAATGATGAAGTTTTATTTTTTTAAAGAGAAAAGTAGGGCATGGAAGTGTTACAGTAGATTAATAACATCTGTGCTATGCCTCACATTTGAGAATATTATTTCTTCAATTGACTTGATAAATTTCTTCACCTGGGCACTTAAAATAAAGACAGTATTCTTTATTTTAAGTGCCCAGGGAAAAAGATAAATGAAGACTTTATTTATATATAATTAGAAATATTGTGTTAGTAAAGAATTAAATGAGCTACTTTTAATGGATCATTTGTTTTTTATTTTGTTTATTTCAGGAAAGAAAAGCCATCACTCATCTTGGAAATTTTACAAAGGCTTTCTGAATTAAGAAGGTTTGATATGGCAGTGATGTTCATGTCAGAACCTGAAAAAAAAAGTGAGATTTGTGAACAAAGCTTTTCCATATCTCTTTATTCTTATATTCCTCTTTTATTTTTTAAACAAATGATAGCAAATATTTGTTGAATGTTTACTATGTCCAAGGTACATGCAATTAAATTTAAATAAAACATAATTAAATTAAATTAAGTAAAATTAAAAATTTTAATCCTGACAATAACATTATGAGGTATTGGTATGATTATTATTCCACTTTTACAAAGGAGGAAACTGAGGCAGAGGGAGGTGAGGAACGCAATCAAGGTCATGTAGCTAGGAAGCCGGGCCCAGGACTTAAACTTAGGCAGTCCTGCTCTAGAGTCTGAGCTGTTCGACTTGAAAATGCAGTAATAACAATGGTTGAGCTCCTGCCATCATGCAGCATGTGAAGGTTCCCTGCCACAGGGGGCATGTAACTGGGTGTGGGTGCACCGAAATCTAACCCATTCTTTGACAGCTAATTTTCCTGAGTTTGTTTCCTTTAAGCTGAATTCTCACAGAAGGGCAGGATTCAGTTAGATGAAGTGGGTAAGTGAGTTTTAGACTGAAGGGATGATGTTTTCAGAGACTCAGGCAGGAAAGGCAGTGTGGCTGGATTGTCGAGTTAGGGGGTAAAGAGTGGCAAGTGATAAGCCTGAATTAGATCCCTTACTTCTATATCTCAGTCTTTGGAAGATAGTGTTACTTTGGGGGACCCTAATTTAAGTAAGATCAAATGCTGCAAAATCTTCAAATTACCTAGAGGTTTTGGGCTATACTGTATAGTTTTAGGAAAAAGAGAAAAAAATCGTTAGAATACCAGAGTACCACTGTTTTTAGTTTTAAAGATAGGGAAACCTTGTACCATTTTCAAACCTCTTAGGCTAAATGTACTTTGGGCTCCTTTTCTTCATTATATATCTAGCAGTGACATTGAATAAGACTCAATCAGTAAGAAAAAATACCGTTTATGTTGTACTTAGGGAAGTGAATATATAACTTAGAGAGATTTTAAAATAGAATTTAAATCAAAAGAAATTTCTATTTCATCTTCAGTTTAATCAAAAACAATTCCTGAAATTTCCCGAGAAGTATTGCTCTTACTTATTACGATTCTAACCTCATCTAACACTTTTTTCACTCTGCCCACCACACCGCTGGGTGTTTTTTTTAATATACCAAACTACCAGGCATAATTTAGCCTCTGGGGCTTTGCATTTGGCTGTTCCCGCAGCCTAGAATATCTCCCCACCTGCTTCCTCATGTTATTTAAGTTTCCGTCTAACATTCAGAGATGCCTTTCCTCACCGGCCTAGTTAAAATAACTGCCTGCCTCCCCTCCCTCATCACCCTCTGTATTCTTGCCCTGCTTTATTTTTCTTCATAATACATAACTAGCTGGCAGTATTCCATGTATGTTTATTATTTCTCTCCCTAATAGAATTAAAGCTCCATGAGAGCAGGAACTTTCTCTACTATTTTCTAGGCCTCAGGCATAGAACAGTACTTAGTACATAATAACTTCTTAGTAGAAGCGTGTTGAATGAATGAATTTCTTGCCACTATAATGTGATAAGTTAAAGTGTACTCAAAGAATGTGAGTTGGCTCTTCAGACTGGCCTTCCATCCTGGTTGGGTCTCCACTGTCCACTAAGTTAAACATGGGAAGCACTTATAATGGTTCCTGGCATGTAACTAAACTTTCAATAAATATTAGCTGCTCTTATCTTCTATTATTGCCATTATTATTAACAATTGTTAGCTAGTTTTAATGTTGAGAAATAAGATGAACTATAACAGTATTTTTCCAAAGTGTAGAGTGTGGACCATTCAGTGGTGTGAAAGATAAAGAATTTTACATATTTTATAGGAAGATCTTTGAACACTTAATAGTTATATATCTTATTTTATGATATACTAGAGGCCCAGTGCACAAATTCGTGCACAGATGGGGTCCTTTGGTCTGGCCAGCGATCCAGGCCTATCAGAAGGCCAGCCGGTCCCCCAAACGGAGCCACTCGGGGGAAGGGGCCCGGGAGGTTGGCTGTGGGAGTGCACTGACCACCAGGGGGCAGCTCCTGCATTGAACGTCTGCCCCCTGGTGGTCAGTGTGCTTCATAGCGACTGGCCAACCGGTCGTTTGGTCACTTAGGCTTTTATATATATAGATTATAAAATGTATAACTAGCCCATCAACATGATTTTGTAGATGTTATTGCTAATTTTCAGTTAGAGATATAAAATTTCTTCTAAAATAAAATTATTTAAGTTTATAAAACAGTTAATTATAATATTAAGTAAAATAGTTAAATAGAGTAAAAATTTTAGGAAGCTTAGAATGAGTTAAGTTTACTCCGTAAAATTAATGTCATTGAGGGTGTAGAGGAAATTTTTTACTGCTAAAGCAAAATATTTTGGTAAACATTGGATTGCTATATTATTTTCTATTCTCAGATTGGTTTTTAAATATCTGAATTAGAATTTAGAAATAATCTTTATATTATAACTTTCAAATGTAAAATGTTTTATTTGACAGATCAGATTATTCCCTTTAATTTTTGTTTCACTAAACTTTTATAAAAATGGAGATTAAAATGGGACACTTTTTTTCTTTTCTTTTTCAGTTGCACATATATTATTCAGTCACATAGAGAACTCAGGGTTGAAGGATAATTCTGTTGAAGAACTCAAGAAAAGATATGGTGGTTGATTTCCATTTTTACTAAAATTATTGTCTTTGAATTTCACATGTAAATTTTTTTCTACTAAAATAAAGTTTTGTTTTGCGTTGAAGAAAATGAAATTATACAGGACTTTGGATATAAGTTAATTAACTATAAAGTGAATTGTGATTTAGTGAGAAATGTATTCTTTATAAGTGATCTATTTATAAGTCTTTTCTGAAAATAAAAATATAAATAATGAGGTATATTTGTAAAGATCAGTATTTTGTAAGTCATTTAAATGTTAGATATAGATACATTTTCCAGTGCCCTGTAAGTGTAACATTATTTCTACATGACAAGCTGCTTCATTAGCATATGAGTAAAGTTATATTTGTATAGAGAGAGTTAAGTAGGTAACTGGATTGTTTATAAGACTTTTTAATTTCATTGTGCCAATTCACTAACAAAATTACTTAGCTGCAGGATAAGTATTTTTAGTATTTATGTTGAAAAGAGACTTTTAACTAGACTTTTTATATCGGCTCATTGAGGAGTCACAGCATCCTTAGATTTAATGCTTCAGATTTTTTCTTCATGACATCCACATCATATATATACTAAAGGCACATATTCTAAAGCAAAGTGTAGAAAATTTAAAAACTGGGAATATTTAAGTAGTAATTAGCATATAGCTTATGTGTGTATGTGTTGTGTGTGAGTGTGTATCTATAAAGCCTTTAAAAGCAGGGTTAGTATTCCACTCATCCTTGTTTTGTACAGTACCTGGCACAGTCCTTTGCACCTGGTTAGGTGCTCAATTAATATTTGTACAATCTAATTTAATTTAACAGCAAGAATCAATTTTAGTAAATTTAAAAGTAGCAACCTAGCAAATTTTGGGCATCCTGTAACTGTTGTTAAAATCAACTTAATTTTAGAGAGTATCAAATTGTTAAAAAACATACTAGGTCGCCCTTGCTGGTTTGGCTCAGTGAATAGAGCATTGGCTTGTGGACCAAAGCGTCCTGGGTTCGATTCCAGTCAAGGGCATATATCTGGTCGGAGCACGTGCAGGAGGCAACCAATCAATGTGTTTCTCTCACATCGATGTTTCTCTCTGTCTTTCCTTCTCTCTTCCACTCTCCCTAAAAATCAATGGAAAAATACTCTCCAGTGAGGATTAACACCAACAATGAATACTAGGTCACCATCCTATAGCTGTTATCAGCATCAAATTTAAAACTGTATTTTACACTGTTGATAATTTTTGTTGCGTCATACATTGTTATACTTACAATTGTTTGAATAATCATAATCTATTTACAAAGATTATTGTCCAGATATAAATTATTGAAATGATCATAGTTTGTATAGTCACGATACCCTTAGATTAGAATTTATTAATGGTATGCATTGCAAATTGTATTGTCTTTTTATGGTATATGACAAACAATAAAATTTAGCCTTTTATGTATAGCTTACACATGTGTATTGAATTTTGAATGACTTGAATTTTTTCTCAAGCCATTAGTAAGAAGTTGATTTAGATGAATAGAAAAGTATTACAAAGGCAAAAATGTTATTTCTCATTAGAGGCCCAGTGCATGAAACTTGTGCACTCGGGGTGGTCCCTCAGCCCGGCCTGTGCCCTCTCGCAGTCTGGGACCCCTCGGGGGATGTCCACCTGCTGGCTTACAGCCTAAGCTGGCACTCAGACATCCCTCTCGCAGTCTGGGGCTCTCACAGTCTGGGACCCTTTGCTCCTTACTGCCTGCCTGCAGCAGAGGTGGGAGAGGCAACCTGCCCGGGGGGAAGGAACTAGCCATGAGCCCGGCTTCTGCCCGGGGGAAGTTTTACTATGGGAGAACACTGACCCCCAGGGGGCAGCCCCTGGATTGACCATCTCCCCCCTGGTGTCCAGGGCCCATCATAGCAACCAGTCGACTGGTTTAAACAGTTGCTTAGGTTTTTATAAAAAAAGATGGTTTTTGGTTGATTACCTCCCACCCCCCACCCACGATCAGGGCCGGGGAGGGACGTGGGAGGTTGGCTAGCCAGGGAGGGACCATGGGAGGGCTACAGGGCATGTCTGGCCCGTTTCAGTCCCGATCGGCCAGACCCCAGCAGTAAGCTAACCTATCAGTCAGATCTGCCCCCCCCCCCCGGTGGTCAGTGCATATCATAGCGACTGGTCAACTGGTCAACTCTGCTTCCTGGTGGTCAGTGCACATCATAGCAAGCAGTTGAGTGGCCTTAGCATATCATTAGCATATTACTCTTTGATTGGTTGAATGGATGACAGGACGACTGGACATTTAGGCTTTTATTATATAGGATCTTTTCTTATGTGATCCTTAGAAGAAACTTACAAGTAGTCAGGGCAGGTAGTGTTACTGCCATTTTTAACATAAGAAAAGGAGATTCAGAGTCAGTGTTTCCATGATTACAGAGTTTAAAAATAGCAGAGTGGGTTCAGAGCATGCTGTCTTCTAACTTAATCTACAGCTATTTGGACTACTCCAGTTTTATTATTCATGTTGTGTTGTCTGGATAGGGACTAGCCTGAAGAAGTATGAATCCCAAGATTTGCTTTATTTTTTAATTTTTTAAAAAATTCTCACTTGAATATATTTTTTCCTTTGATTTCTAGAGAGAGTGGGAGGGAGGGAGTAGGAGGGGGGAGAGAGACACAGACACACATCGACGTGAGAGAGACTCATTGGTTGGTTGCCTCCCACATGCACCCCAACCGGGGCTAGGGAACCTGCAACCAAGTTACAATACCCTTGACTGGGAATTCAACCTGTGACCCTTTTGTTTGCAGGCTGACACTCTAACCACTAAGCAAAACTAGCCTAGGCCAAGACTTGCTTTAGAATTTGCATTAAAAATTGTTTAATGTTAACTTGCTTTCCATTATAATTCGTTCAAATGTTCATTATTTAGTTCCTACGCTCTGCCATGTTCTTCTAATTGGTCTCCTCTTGGGGGTTGCCTTCTTGGATCCCATCAGGTGAGTTTCGTGTCCTGTGTCCAGACTTCTGTCATTGCATTCGTCACTCTTCACTATAGGTGCTATTCTTGCCTGATTACCTCACTAACTCTGAGATCCCGGAAGGCAGAGGCTGTAGCTTTGATTTTTATATTCGTAACAACTCGCACAGTGGCTGGTGTATATATATGTTGCTGACTTTAAAATTAAATCCTCAAGTCAGAAAGGCCTTTGTCAAACCATGTGTCCCAAGATTAAGTTAGAAAGACCATCACTGTCCTGCAAGAAGTGAGTTGTCCCCACAGGCTGTGTGCATGGATGACATGAGTGGATTCAGTGGGGACAGAATTAGTCTTCACATCGTTGGGATTACAAGCATGCAGTGTGTTTTTAAGAGATGACTTTCCAAAGCCTGTTATCTGGCACATAATATGAAGTTAATACATATTTGTTGAA